AGCTGGTAGACTCGAACTGCTGACCTTGTGGTTAGTAGCCCAGCACAGAAGCTGTTACACCACCAGGATTCCTTTGTTGTGTTAAGTGCTGTTGAGTTGATCCCTACTCATAGCAACCCTGTATAGTATTTGCAGGGAGCAGCTGGTGCTTTTGAACTGCTGACCTTGTCGTTAGCAGTCCATTGCTTTATCCTACAGTGGCGCACCCGGGCTCCTTTAATCTAGTGTTACTTCTACATTTGATGCTTTACCTTTAAAATCGTATTTGTTTTAAATTCTTTGGGTAGGTATTATAATCACATGGTTGATATTTTTTAGAAAATCAATAATGCCTCTTCTTTTTCCCGCTGTTGTCCCAGTTCTTTATTTTCGAAAGGTATATATGGTGGTGGAATTTTTGTTTTGCTAAAATTTATTAAATGTATATTCATATATAAATACATTACCTTTTTCACAAAGCATCAGACTGTACTTTTGTTCTTGCTACTTGACAGTACAATTTGGAGATTCAGTATACAGAGAGTTCCTGTTTTGATTTTTCTTTTTTTTTTTTAATTTTAACAGCTAGGCAGTAATTATTTTACAGATAGTCCATAACTTTTTAACCTATCCAATATTGGTGAATATTTGGATTTTCCTAGTCTTTTGTCTTTACAAACAGTGTTGCCATAAATAGTTTTGTAATTTATCCGTTCTGCATGTATATTTCTAGAATAAATTCCAGAAGATGAAATTGCTGGAAAAGTAGTATAAAGATATAATTTTAATAAATAATGCCTATTTGCTTTTTGTAGAAATTTTACGATTTTGCCATGCAACCAGTCACACATGCAAGTATCTGTTTACTCTCAAACTATCCTAGAATGCTGGCTATCCACACTTTAATTTCTAGCCATCATGACAGGTTAAAAATAAGGCATCTCTTCATTTTGAGATTTCTCTTAAGAGTTGAGTTGTAAGATTCTATTTTATAATACATTTTTCCATATTCGATGCCGTAGGGTTCTGTTATACTTTCTTAAGGACTGATTTAGAACCTTAGGAAACATGAGTTGGTTGCTTATATTTCTAAGTTTTCCCAAATGTGTATGTACACATCCTTTGAGTCATAACTGTACCTTGCATTTGTTGCACATACCCTTAACCCAAACGTGTGGTTGTTTATTAAGACTGTGTAAAGGAGCTCTGGTAGCATAGTGGTTACGAATCGGGCTGTTACCTCAGGCTCAGCAGTTCAAAAATACCAGCTGTTCCGTGGGAGAAAGAGGAGGCTTTCTGCTCCTGTAAAGATTTACAGCCTCGGAAACCCTGTACAGGGTCGCTATGAGTTGGAACCGACTCCACGGCACATAACAACAACAAATGTAAAGTTTGTTGACATCAATTAAAAATAGTAAAAAGAAAATAATCCTTACCATTGTGAAAGTCTCATGATGAAGAGGGTGACAACTTAAAATGGATTTTTAAGCAGCCAGTAGGAGGAAAGAATGACATGATCAAAGTATTGGAGGAGGGCAGGGTAGGAAAAAAAAGACAGTTTAAGAGAGTAGTAGAAACAAAGTTGGCGCCAGATTACAGAAAGATATAAATGACATGCTAAGTTAGCTGAAGTTTAAGCTGTGTTCATTAGATAGTTGGAATCATCGGAAATCTGAGGACAGGAGAGAGCAAGGCTCCCAAAAGACTTGTTTAGCAGAACTGTGTATATTACTGAAGGACAGAGTTTGGAAACAGGAAAACCATATGCTCTTAAGAGATGTGTGGCCCTAAACGAACTGGTATGGTGGCAGTAGAAATGAAAAGAAACTCTTAAGATGAGAGAGAACATAAAAGAAAAATCAAATTTGTTAACAACTTGAACTGGCCAAGGGAAGAGGGAGGACACAAAACTAAGCTGTAGAATTGAGATGTTAGTAAGGAAGGTGCTGGAACAACAAGCCTTCTGTAAAGGTGGTGTGGAGGTGACGTGGTAAAGTGACCCTGTATCAGCTTTCTGAGGAGCATCTAATGGGATTGAACTGCCCATGATGATGTTGGGTGAGCAGTCTTGCGTTTATCCTGATGGGCTCATCAGGACTCCTCTGGAAAGATTCCAACCTTGGAAACCCTATGGAAACTCTGCCCTTCCTATAGGGGCACTAGGAGTCAGAATCAACTAGAAAGTAGTCTGTTTCTTGGGTTTGTTTTTGTTTTGATGTTTGGTTAAAGGTGATAGAAAAGATTGGTAGGGTGGGAAAATTGAAATAATTGGACATGCTGAATTTTGACATATCCGTAGGTTGCCTAGGTGAATGTCCAGTACACAGCTGGAAATAAGAGCTTAGGAGAAAGGTCTGAGAGACATCAAATATAGTTAAGTTTTCTCTGTGGGATTTTCTTTCTTAGTGGGACTGTAACCCCTAGGCAAACCCACTGCCTTGACTCAGTCTGACTTGATAACAGCCCTACAGAAAATAGTAAAACTGTCCGTCCGTCCCCCTCCCCCCCCAGTTTCTGTAAAGGCTGTAAATCTTTTTGCCAGCAGATTGCCTCATCTCTCTCCTCCAGAGCGGCTACTAGGTTCAAACTCCAGACCTTTTGGTTTGCAGCCTAGCACCTTACCGACTGTCCTACCTGGGCTTGCATATGGGACTATAAAGAGTCTGAATCTGAAGTCTGTCTTCCATTACATTCCCAATATTTTCATCACGATTTTCATTTCATCTGTTCTTATTTGCCCTTCCATCTATTTTCTAAGCCTTTTTGGTCTAAACCCACACTGCAGCCTTAGAACAAAAGCAAAACCTCTTTAGTTTTATTTTTAAATGGTTGGGTTTTTCTCACATTTTTGCTTGCCTGTAAGATAAAATCTTATTCTTTGGTTGTTACACATTGTTGTTAAGTGCCAATGAGTCAGTTCTGATTCATAGTGTAGAGTTTCCAAGGAGTGGCTGCTGGGTTTCAACCTCCGATCTTGCAGTTAACAGTTCAGTGCTTATCCTATAGCCCCCCCCCCCACACACACACCCTAATGTCCATTTCCTTCTGCAACATCTTCTGCTATAAAGCTTGATAACATTCACAGTGAATTTACGATTTGTAAAGCAACAACAAATTTGGAAGGAAGTAATCAGAGAATCTTAGTTTGTATTTTAGGAAGTCTAGTGATGCCCCTGTACTCCATGTACGTATTAGATGCCATTCGTAACCTTCCCCCTTAGTTCTCCTATTTGTTGTTGTTAAGTTCTACGGAGTCAGCTCTTAATAGCGACCTATATAGCGTTTCTGAGGAGTGTCTGGTGGGTTTGAACTGTAGGTCTTGCAGTTCAAACTGACTTTGTCTTCCGGTGTTTACAGCGCCACACCAGAACTCCAAAGGGGGAAATGACCTGGAGGGAATTCAGGAAAGCAATTGGATGTTTGAGGCTAAAAGCAGTTGAAAATACTGAAGGAATTGATTATGCTGCTGGTTGTGGTGCTGTTGGTTAATGCGCTGGACTGCAAAGTCCATGTGAACCAGGAGTCCTGCCATTCTAGCTCACCTGCTGTTCCTGAGAAACCCTTTCTTTACAGGGTCACTATGGGTCAGACCCCGACTTGACGGTACTTAACAACAACAGTCCATTTGAAATGAGATAATAAGCCAAAAAGACTACCTAGTTTTTTCTGTGCAGGAAAAGAGATCTTTAATTTCTTGGTTATGTGTTGTCATTACATTGTATTTTGAATTTTAGATACCTTTATAATTATAAATACAGTGTTGCTAGCTGATATACTTTGAATAAATCTATACCTTGGTGTATAATTGATAGTGTGTTCTCTAGATATACTGAAGGTATAGATAGAAGTGGTGGTGGCTGTGAGCCATGGAGTGGGTTCTGACTCATAGCGACCTTGCATAGGGTTTCCTAGGCTGTAGTCCTGGTGTGACGCTGTGGGTTAATGCGCCAGACTACAAAGCCGTTTGAACTGCAAGGTTGGAAGTTCAAGCTTACCAGTTGCTCCTCGGAAACCCTATAACAGGGTCACTATGGATCGGAATTGACTCAGCGGCACTTCACAACAAGACTTCTTTACAGGAGCAGAAAACTTCATCTTTCTCCCATGGAACCGCTGGTAGTTTCGAAGTGCTGACTGTAAGATTAGCAGTCCACCTCGTAACTACTACGCTACCAGAGTCCTTATGGATAAATGTAGGGAAGCGAATGAAATTTATACTGACCTCAGGGTAAGATTAGTAGAGATTGCGTTCCAGTTTTAAAATGCATAAATCATTTTCCTACAGTTCATTTTACATGAAAACCAAAATGCAGAAGTGTACGTTGTTGTTAAGTACCGTTGGGTTGATTCCGACCCATAGCGACCCTGTACAGGGTTTCCAAGGAGCAGCTGGTGAGCTTGAACCACCAACCTTACAGTTCAAATGACTTTGCAGTCTGATGCATCAGCCAACAGCACCACCCCAGGACTCCAGAAAGTGCATAGGAACCATGAAAATAAATGGTTATGGAAGTTCCTCAGTTCTGACTTTATTGTTGGTTTCCTTCTGCTTTACTATTTGACTTTGTTGTTAAGTGCTGTCAAGTCAGTTCCAACTCAGAGTGACCCGTATAAAGTTGCTGAGGAGCGGCTAGTAAGTGTGAACTGCTCGACCTTGCAGTTTAAACTGACCTTCTGGCCTCTAGTGCATTATCTTACAGAGCTACCCCAGGACTGTGACCTTAACACAAGTTTAATGAAGAATGCTGGAGTGTGTGTTTGGAGTCCTGGTGTGGCTCTCTGTGAGTTCATGCGCTGGACTGCAAAGTCTGTTTGAACCATGAGGTTTGTGATTCAAGCTCACCAGTCACTCTTCAGAGACACTGTACAGAGTAACTATGGTTTGGAATCGACTCGATGGCACTTAACAGCAACAAATTGTATGTTTATATTTTGGTTGTAAATTAGAACCCGATTTCTAAAGTACTAACTAACTAATAGAAGACATGGGATTTACAAAGTCTTTCCTTCTTTACTTTCAGGCTGAAGAACAGTTGAGAATTGTCGAAGAACAAAGAAAGATTCATGAGGAAAGGATGAAACTAGAACAAGAGCGACAGCGTCAACAAAAGGAAGAACAAAAAATTATCCTGGGCAAGGGGAAGTCCAGGCCCAAACTGTCCTTCACATTAAAAACCCAGGATTAAATTGCAAACTCTGAACTTTTTACAAAAAAAAAAAAAAAAAAAAAAAAAAAAATGAGTCTGGGCTTAAAACAATCCTCCAGCCCTTCACCAATCAAATTTTGTTTTTTTGTTATTTTAATTTGGAAAATATGGAAAACTAGCTTGTTCTAATAGGGGCTATGCTCTGCAATTCCTTTTTTCCCTTTAACTTC